CACAGTATTTTATCATCGAGAGGAGAGAGGGAGAGAGAGAGAGAGAGAGAGAGAGAGAGAGAGTGAAATATGAGTATGTTTTAAACAATTCAGTCAGATAAAATGATTAGAAATGTTTCTGTACCTGTTGTTGTGAGTGCAGCAGAGACTCTAGATATTTGATGACTTGTCTATTAAAATCTCGAGCTTTCTCTTTCTGTTAGCAAAGAAATTGTAATGAATAGTTGTCGTCTTTTTGAAGAGAAAAAGGTTTCGAAGGACAATTTAAAGGAATAGTTCACCCAAAAAATGTTTATTTGCTTAAAATGTTCTCACTTTCTGGCCATTTAAGATGTAGAGGAGTTTGTTTCTTCATCAGAACAGATTTGGAGAAATGTAGCATTCCATCACTTGCTCCCCAATGGATCCTCTGCAGTGAATGGGTGCCGTCAGAATGAGAGTCCAAACAGCTGATAAAAACATCACAATAATCCACACAACTCCAGTCCATCGATTAACATGAAAAACTGTGTGTTTGTAAGAAACAAATCCATCATAAAGATGTTTTCAACTTCAAACTGTTGCTTCTGGCTAAAATATCATTATCCATAATCAACAATAACGCTTCCTCCATTGAAAAGTCCATCTCCTGCTGTCCTCTTGCATCAAAATCCACCTATATATTTGTTTAAGACTGTTTTGACTGTTTTCACTTGTAAACAGTGCTTGATCAGTGCATATTTCTCTCCTGATTCAGATGAGAGAACTTTTTCACTGAAGAAAGCAATATTATGGATAGAGGACTCGTATTTTAGCTGGAAGCAACAGTTTGAAGTTATAAACGTCTTGATGGATTTGTTTCTTACAAACAGGCCACTTGCTTCACAAGACATTAATTGATGGGACTGTAGTGGTGTGGATTACTTGTGATGTTTTTATCAGCTGTTTGGACTCTCATTCTGACGGCACCCATTCACTGCAGAGGATCCATTGGTGAGCAAGTGATGCAATGCTACATTTCACCAAATCTGATGAAGAAACAAACTCCTCTACATCTTGGATGGCCTGAGGGTGAGCACATTTTCAGCTAATTACAATTTTTGGGTGAACCATTCCTTTAATGCTGATATTTAAATTAATGTGGAAATCAGGTCTCACATCAAATCGGATGACTTCTTTCCGTACGGTGGCTGAGATTCTCTCAAATTCTCTCTCATACTGCGTGACTTTTGCTTCCCACTGGAGGATAAGAATATGAGATAGTCCTTATAAAGTGGAGTTGTTAAGGTTACAGATGCTATCGTTTATCTGTATAACAGCGGTGAGCCTATAAACATCCACCAAACAAACATTAGCATGTTTGCGCAGTTACCTCAGTGATCTCATCCTTGGCCTGCTGGAGTTTGTCAGGTTTGTTGGCCCACAGGAGTTTGGCCTCGGCCTCTCTTTTCTTCTGCAGCATGTTCTCAGCGTCCTGCCAGCGCTGCCATGCTTTCATTCTCTGATCAAAACACCCCTGACAAACATATTATTATTATTATTATTAAGGAAATATTTTAAGGGTTGGATGATATGACTGAAATCTTATGGTATTACAACAGGAACAAGATTAATAATTCGATACAGATTTTTAATTAATTAAAGTAATTAATTTTTATTATTAATAATAATAATACTTTATTTTAAATAATTTATAATAATTTATTTTATTTTATTATTATTGTAGATATATTACTGCACGACTAAACATTTTAGGATCATAATACATGTATGTATAAAAAAAACATGTAATTGCAATTTTTTTTATTTTATTTTAATTTTTCAAATATGTCTGTAATAATAATAATAATAATAATTATATATATTTTTTATATATATATATTATGGACAATCCAGTTCATTGTTAATAATAACACAATAACTATGACTGGATGAGTGACATCTGAAGCAGTTTTCTTCTCTGTCTGTGTGTGTGTGTGTGTGTGTGTGTGTGTGTGTGTCTGTACCCTGAC